GGGCCTGCTGCTCTCCCTCGTTTCAGATTTCCTATGGCTTTTTCAACTTCGTAAAGGGACGGAGGACCTACATTAACTTGCCATTCAGGTTGACTGGAGATCGTGGGAAACCGAAGTGTGGCTGAAGGCCAGTTGAACTGATCCCTTATGTGTTCTGCCCATCGATCCAATCTCCTGGATTGAGAATGAATAATATGTCCATCTTTCTCTGAGATTGTTTCGCTAACAGTCGGGTTCCTAATTCCGGTTTCCTTAACGAGTCTGAACAATTGTCTGCTATTACCTATTGCCGCTGCCTTTTTCATCTCTCTTGCTTTCGCTACCCACCACTGTTTGCGATCATTGCGTAGACTTCTTGTCAGCTTGTGCTTAAGCTGACTCCGCTCTTCGTTGTGTTCAGAGCCAGGTGGAATGAGTTTTCGAGCATCTATCAGTGCGATAGATGCTGCTGAGATCCAGTGTTGCTCCCTAACCTTCTGGTTTACCTTACTAGCAGATATCACTGCTGTTTCCACAGCTTTTCGAATATCATTTCATACTGCCTCGCGATGGGCATCACATACATGGCTGCCTAACTGTTTTCCTAGTTGTTCCTGAAATATACTCTTGGCTTGACTATCATTAAGTAGGCTCCTAAGAGGTTTCCTTGCAGCGTCTTTCCTACGTCCAGTAAGACGCAGGCAAATACGCGCTCGTACTAGAACATGATCTGAATCTAAGCATGTTCTCCAGAATGAGCGACAGTCTTCTATCGAGCTCCTCCATCGGTGGCTGATAGCGATGTGATCTATTTGGGTCCAACGTTGGGACGAATTAGGGGGTCGCCATGATAAAAGCTGTTTTTCCTTATGCTTAAAGTTAGTATTTGCAAGGAACAGGCGGTTATCTGAGCATAGCTGCAACAGACGGTCGCCATTATCTGTTCTTTGAGCCACAACACCATAAGATCCACCTAGGTGTCTTCCCTATCACCTAGTTTACCTACTTGAGCATTAAAGTCACTAGTCACTATTACCACATCAGAGCGCCTAGCTTTTCGGAGAAGGTCGGAGAGCTTTCTGTAAAACTCATCTTTTACATCATCTGAGCTGCAGTCAGTGGGAGAATAGGCAGAAACGACGAAGAGGCAACGACGAGTGTCCCTATCTTTTCGGATTCTTACTGTTGCGTTTAGTCGGACAGCGCACAAACGACTGTCTACTGGGATCCACTCTGAGAGAGCTAGTTCTGCCCTAGGACCCAATGCTCTGCCTACGCCGGCTAGGCCACGGTAAGCACCATCAGGGCTTCCAGATACACGAAGCCTAAATCGAGTTGATTCTTTATTTTGACATGATGAGGTCAAATGAATGACGCTACTCGGATCTTGTATGCGCGTTTCGGAGACGCAGCACACATCGATGGCGCGAAATTATAAAGCCCTAGCTAAGGAAGCCTGTTGTCCTATTTGGCACAGCGTTAGGACGTTCAAATCTCCTACGTGTAGTTTTGAGAGTGTTTTCAGCAGACCAGGAATAATGTTCCGGGTACTTGAATCGTTAGCCCTAGCGGTGCGAGGTGATAAAGAGACGTGAGCAGGGTTAGTCATGGAGATAAGAGATTTATTTGGAGGTCTAGGAGGGATTTGAATGTGGCCGACATGGTCTCGTGTGTTGTTACGGGTGTGAGGGCTGATATAATTTTTCGGCTGCCCACACCGTGGAAGGGTATTTCTCGAGGAACCTGAAAAGGAAATTGGATTAGTGTTGGTCTTGACGACTTGGGAGCGTGACCGCAGAGCCCAAGGGACAACTGCTTGAGGCCGGTCGCACACGGCCTTCTCGTGGTAGGTTTTTAATGTGTTAGCTCCGTTCCTCAAAAGAGCCTTACCGCCGGAGACGTATATAAGTGAGGTAAGGTGAGGTGTGACATTTTTAGGGTCAACCTTTTCTAACCCCTTCCTCCCTTGTGAGAAAGCAGTATTGCTGCAGATGCTGGTTGTCCGAGGGAAACACCTTACTGCTGTCACACCCCTCTACAGTTAGCAGTACGACTTCGCCTTCAGACCTTGAGTTGCTGCATTTAGTCTCACTGTTCTCCATTCGACCTGCCTGGCATGGTGGAAGTTGTAGGAACATATGTTCCAGCCAATATAGCTCGGTTGGGTCATCACGATAGGCAAGCCCGACCACCCCTTCGAGGTATCAGCTACGGTCGGGGTACCCCTGTGTACCAATATATATGTGTTCAAATAAATAAATAAGTAATTGTGTATAGAAAACATAGTCAATCAAGCCAATCACTTAAAAGGTTTTCAATCCAATATTTAATGGTAATTATAATATAGAGGTTATTCATAATACAGGATTATTTAAATTAAATTAGATGAATCTGAGTCCGAATACTAAACTTAATAAATTCACTTGTTATCATTTCAAAATTTATTAAATTTAATGTAACAATTGAATTACACATGAGAATAAGACTAGCTATTCTAAAGAATTGAAAATGTTTACCTACTATGAAATTCAAATAGGCTTTACAACATAAATAATCAGAAGGGGTTTTGTGGAGATTTTAGTCATTGCAATAGTTGAAATCATGAGTCAATCGAAGGTAGACTAGCATGGGACGGCCGTTTCGTCCTAGTATGGGACTGCCTAGCAGTGGGCATTTACGACTTCACTCGCGGGACTCGAACTCAGAACCTATCGGTCTCGTGCGCGCACGCTTAACCTCTAGATCGCCGAGCCGGCACTTCTGAGGAGTCCCATACTAAGACGAAACGGCCGTCCAGAGCTTCCAGGTTTTCCATGGTGGTCTAGCTTAAATTGACTCATGAATTCAACTATTAATTTAGTATAATATCCACATTTATATTAGTTAAATTCATGAGTCAATTGAAGCTAGATCACCATGGTAAACCTGAAAGCACTGGACGGCCTTTTCGTCCTAGTAACAAAAAATAAAGTGCACTATTCTATCATGATTAACAATAAGTTTACGTCACATTCGCACACTTTTCGACGACTCGTCATAATGAACACAAGGAATATTGTTTTCAATAAAAGAGAAGTTATGTTTCAATGTCTTTATCAATACCATTAGTTCAGTGACGAGCTACTGTTGAAATCAAACATACTGAATGAGACAGAAATTGAAAATTCTAAACACTGCAAAAATGAAACATAACGTCATCTTTTCATGTCTTGCTAGTAGCATTATGGTGTGTTCTACTGATATCAACAGATATAAATAAAATGTCTGGTCACAATTGATTGATCACTGGGTGGTGATCAATGTCATGGTTGTCTAGTCCTTATTAGTGCAGATCGAATGCTATCGATCATGTTGCAATGTGGCCACCAATCTCTGACTGAGAAGCTGGGTGACACGAGATCGAATTCGCCAGGGAGTACCAGGTCCCTCAAAGATTACAGGTACATCTTGCTGACGAGTGCCAAGTAGCACGAAACCCGGGTCCAGGGTTTCCTGTTGACTACCTCCAACCACCATCTAAAATGTCTGGTGGCAGAAGATCGAAGGAAAAAGAACAAAAACAGAGAATTATCGATGTGGAAACGAAAGAACAATGAAGTCTGAGGTGATTGATTCACATTTTGGAAGAGGAACAGTTATGCTTGAGATGATTGATTGACATTGTGCAAATGAAGTATTTACTGTATGATTCTCAGATTTTACTAAGATATTCTGTTATGTTGTATTAAAATACATTCGATTGTCCCCACTTGTGTTCTCGTTCATTACAGCATAAATGAATAATTAGTTAGCCAGGAAACGTAACATACTATAAATCTCTATCGTCCAACTGATTAACATTCATGTATTAAACACGAAAGAAAAAGGTACGATACAGTAATGTAGGATCAAGATGTGAATTGACAAGTGATAGACTTGATCAAGATTATTTTATGTACAATAATAAATTTCATTTCAGTTATGAATAGAATTCTTTTATCCTTAGATATTGTTAATTGTTTGATTTCAACCATAGAACCCATGGAAACTAGGATACAGTGAACAGCTGTTGTAATTTTATTCTGGTCTTTCTCAGAATTTAGCGTCCATAACGTTACAAACAGTATTGAAACTATGATCTGTCCTCATATTGAGTACGATATCATTCGACTACCACTAAGTTGTAATTCAGTTATTCACAATGATAGATTAAATTAAATTGAGAAATAGAGAGACCTATGACTTTATTTCTTCCCCTCCCCTGAAAATGATCACACGTCACCTTCCCCGTCTTATTGTTATGATCATAGGAATCGCACTTGTAAGCTCCAGTTTGAAAAGTGACAATAAACTACTCTCGCTAACGAAGAATTTCGAAGGGAAATCGCTTTAAAATGAACAGCAAAATTCTCATTCCATTACACCCAAGTAAATTAGCTAATCATAGACTAACGAATGGTAAATAAGAGATATTCTTGTCACAACTATTCTCACTACTTATCTCTTGCAAGTAACTTGTAATCACATAGCAAAGGATTTTTGTCCGGCTTTCTGATTGTGCCACATCATAACAATGTTGGGGAATTTAACTTGTTGAACAAGCTTAGACAAGTCAAAAGCCATTTCAAGGTTATATGGTAAGAAATGAAAGTATAGACAGTGTTTTTTTGAATAAGTAAGTAAATTGGTCATCTTCCTAAAGTCACTACCAACATATTTGTTTGGGTTAGTTGAGACGGGCATAAACGTGAGTTTCATTCATTCATATTCGGCTACTTCTGGTAACTCTCAAAACATAATCTCGGTTTCCTTTTATCTATAGAACAGACTGAATGAAATTTTAGAAAGCATGCACTGTTGAATAAATTAAATCAAGGAACACGAGAGAAAATCATTAATTGTAAATAATCAATTCAATCATGCATTTGGAGTGACTTCGAAACACTTAGAAGAACATACCATAAACTTAGGACTTTATACTAGTTGATATTCGAAAACACATACCTAAAGCTAAGTAGTGGGCTATAACCACGGGAATTTCACAGAATTTTAATAGAAAGCAATAACCATCAGTTTTACTCAAGTCTAGGTGTCATATTGCGTATCCTCAACCACTACCTACCTCCAAGGGTAATGTTGGTGAATTCAGGGATGGGTTGGAAGAAACATAGGATCCCCAAAACGAAACATAGCATCAGTTCATGAATTCACTGGCAGTTGGTCTGAGCCATATTGGTAAATGCGGTCAGCTGGGTTGAGGTCCGTTGGATTGTCGTAATCAGCAGTGAGGGACTTTAGGCGACTTGGCTTGGAATTAGTCTGATTACTGCAGATGGATTTGTTGTTTGTTTCTCCTTAGACCACGTGTTTCAAAATTATCTTATCCTTTCCATTTTATGAATTTATTTTTTCTCCAGTCATATTTCTATCACCAAAGTTTTCTACTACAACTGGTATTATGACTACTTCTACTACTCTGGTATTTCTCTGTGCTGTGGTTCGGAAACTTAAGCCGATATACACAAATGCCAGGTTCTATATTGATTATGATAAACTGACTACCTGCAAAAGGAATATCATTGATCGAAGATGACTGTACTGTATCACAAATTGATTTAAAACTGAAAAATCATAGCAAACAGATTCCTACTGTGTTGTAGAGATGTGAATTTTAGTTCTTTAATCACGAAACAACACAGAAGCACATATTATTATCATTAATCAGTTGACTTGAACCGTTTTCTTCATAACCGAAAGTAGTAACTTGTTTACTTATAACTAAACTGCCCTAGTACGGCTGAGAGTGGGGAGGGTCCGCTCTCCCTCTCCAAATGCTCTCACATGGCCACGCGTATATAGCCTCTGCCAGGGAAGTCCTACTCACTGCCATCTCATGGTGGGGGTGTTGTTCACGAAATTGAGAGGACGAAGAGCGAATGTCCGGCGCTTTAACCGGGTTGATAGACATGAAGAGTCTACCTAGGGGAGTTAGAAAACCCTGATTCCAAACCAATGGTGTACATGGGATCCAGGATCCTGAATAAACAAATGGCACATGAATCAATTGTTAGTCACCGGCTACCATGAGGCTGCATCTCCCGACGTTGCTCTACCGCTCTGTGGATCAAACTTGTAGGTGGAAGGCTGGGTGTGTGGCCCCCTAAGAAAACCACCTAGTTCGGTTTGGGCACCCGGGTAGTATCACAGCCCTCACACATAACAAGTGAGATCTATGTGGCATATATGTATTTGGTGTCTCCTTGTACCAATATCTATGTGTTAAAATAAATAAATATAAATAAATTCTTTGAATATTTGCAGGTGGAATTTATTGTTATTAAATTATATAAGGCTTCAATCTTCTAATAGTTAAGCGCGGTTAAAAATAAAACACCTAACTTTCGAAACTATTTTTCTACGGTTTTATTTTCTTATTACCCTGGTTTCAAGCTTTTATTTGAACCGTAATTTTTTGTTATAGCATCTGCTATTGATAAACTAGAACTAATTATTTGTGTAACGCAGAATCCAGTTTTCCTATTATTAATGTTGTTATTCCGTGTTAATACTGTCATCCCTAATTGGTCTGCTGTGTGATTTAGTCTTATATGCATATAAATGAATATGTGAAATTTAATAATCTTCGGGAGGTGAAAATTGGTCTCGCGTTCTTCCTCTTCGTTCGGAGCCATCCTTCAGGCCTAGAGTATGTCTTCCAAGTCCATGATTTTTATTAGTCGCTTAAGACTGTCTACGTGTATTTGTTGGTTGTAGGATGTCACAATATGCGTTACACAAATCATTGAACTTGTATTTGCGCTAGTATACTGTCCCATAGTAGCCGGTGACCAAGATAAGATTCATATGCCATTTGTCTCATCAGAATCCTTGGGCCCATATGCACCTTTAGTTTGGAAAGGAGTTTTCAACTCCCCTAGATGAATCCCTTGTGCCCATTGACCGGGTTGAAGCACTGAACTTCTGCTTTTCTAAGTATGAATATTGTAAATAACACCCCCAGCGCTAGAAAGCAGTGAGTAGGAATTCCTTGGCATTGGTTATGTACACGTGGCCATATGATAGCATTTAGAGAGGGGGGGCTCTCCCCACACACAGTATCAATAATAACAATGGAAGGTTTGTAAAAAAAACTATCACCTTCGGTAAATCTTCGTCATATATGGGTGCAAAGCCACTACAAAATCGGAAACAGCTAGTCATGCTTATTTTGGTGCTAATTATTTATGTACGAACAAGTATGTACTGTTATTGAATACGAAAAACTTATTCTTCTAGCGTTTAGTCATCTCTACCATATCAATTCAACTCGTTTGAGTGGATAATTCGGCTATACGAGCAGTTATCACTCGATCACACTGTATCATTACAAATCATTTAACGATCATCATCCTATTCATTTATTTAACCAAACCCAAACATTATTACTAACTCCGCCTGTAGCTCTTCTAGAGTTACTGCCGGTCCCAAGCCCGGGTAAAGGAGGAGGGTTGGGCATGGGGTTAGCGTCCCCATCTCGTAGAAAACTAACTCGCTAAAAAAACGCTTACCAGAAAAAATAATTCAAACCATTTTAACTCTGCCCTGAGAGTTAGAAGGTCTTCATTTAGAAGAATTATGACGCTTCATGGTGAAAGCCGAGTTCCTTCGGAAGCCACGAGGCCGATGCCCCTTCTAACAACCAGAGCAACAATTTTTATAGGTACATGGAACGTTCGAACAATGTGGGAAACCGGGAAGACCAGCCAAATAGCAACGGAAATGAGGAGATACAATTTGGCAGTACTGGGAATCAGCGAAACCCACTGGACCCGAGCTGGACAGAAAAGGCTAGCTACGGGAGAGATGCTGCTATACTCCGGTCACGAAGAGGAAAATGCTCCACACACTCAGGGAGTTGCTCTAATGCTGTCTAAAGTAGCACAAACTGCACTTGTAGGATGGGAATCTCACGGATCCAGAATCATCAAAGCATCATTCAAAACAAAGAAGGAGGGGATCACAATCAATATTATCCAATGTCATGCACCACCAATGATAGCAACTACGACATTAAAGATCAATTCTACGAGCGGCTGCAGTCAATCATAGAGAAACGCCCAAGAAAGGACCTCACCATCCTAATGGGAGATCTAAATGCCAAGGTCGGAATAGACAACACTGGATATGAAGATATTATGGGACGACATAGACTGGGACAGAGAAACGAAAATGGAGAAAGATTTGCAAATTTGTGTGCATTCAACAAATTAGTCATAGGAGGCACAATATTTCCACACAAGCGTATACACAAGGCTACATGGATCTCACCGGACCACACTACAGAGAACCAGATAGATCATATTTGCATCAACGAAAAATTCCGAAGGACAATGGAAGATGTGAGAACCAGGAGAGGAGCTGACGTAGCTTCAGATCACCACCTAGTTGTAGCCAATTTAAAACTGAAGCTAAAAAAGAACTGGACAAGTGGACAAACAGCACTACAAAGGTTCAATACAGCCTTCCTTCGAGATACTGACAAACTTAATGAATTCAAGATAGCTCTCAACAACAGGTTCCAAGCCTTTCAAGATCTACTAAAGGAAGAAGAAACTAGTATGGAGGACAACTGGAAAGGCATCAAGGAAGCATTAGCTTCAACGTGTCTAGAGGTTCTGGGCCTAAAGAAACACCATCATAAGGAATGGATCTCTACAGAAACACTGGACAAGATCAAAGAAAGGAAGAACAAGAAGACAGTAATTAACAACAGCCGAACACGAGCAGAGAAAGTCCAAGCACAAGCTGAATACATAGAAGCAAACAAGCAAGTGAAGAGGAGCATTAGAGCCGACAGGAAGAAATACGTGGAAGAATTAGCAACGACGGCAGAAAAAGCTGCTACAGAAGGAAATATGAAACAGCTTTACGATACAACGAAGAAACTAGCAGGGAAATACAGTAAACCAGAGAGGCCGGTCAAAGACAAAGAAGGCAAGCCAATCACTGAAATTCAACAACAGCGAAACAGATGGGTAGAATACTTCGAGGAACACCTGAATAGGCCGGCTCCAATGAATCCACCGAACATCGAAGCAGCACACACAGATCTTCCTATAGATGTCAACCCACCAACGACGGAAGAAATTAGAATGGCCGTCAGACAAATCAAGAACGGGAAAGCAGCAGGACCCGACAACATACCAGCTGAAGCACTGAAATCAGACGTCGAAGTAACCACAAGCAAGCTTTACCCTCCATTCAAAAAGATTTGGAAGGAGAAACAAGTGCCAATGGACTGGAAAGAAGGACACTTCGTCAAGATTCCAAAGAAAGGAGATCTGAGCAAATGTGAAAACTACAGAGGCATTACACTACTGTCAATACCAGGGAAAGTCTTCAACAGAGTGTTGCTGAACCGGATGAAGGATGCAGTAGATGCCCAACTTCGAGATCAACAAGCTGGATTCCGTAAGGATCGGTCGTGCACAGACCAAATTGCAACACTACGGATCATCGTCGAACAATCGGTTGAGTGGAACTCGTCACTATACATCAACTTCATTGATTATGAAAAGGCATTCGACAGTGTAGATAGGAGGACATTATGGAAACTTCTTCGACACTACGGAGTTCCTGAGAAGATTGTCAATATTATCCGGAACTCATACGACGGACTACAGTGCAAAGTAGTGCATGGAGGACAGCTGACAGATGCATTCCAAGTAAGGACCGGAGTCAGACAAGGCTGTTTACTCTCTCCCTTCCTCTTTCTTCTGGTGGTCGACTGGATTATGAAGACCTCAACATCTGAAGGAAAACACGGAATACAATGGACAGCTCAGAACCAATTAGACGATCTGGACTTCGCAGATGACCTAGCCCTCCTATCGCGTACACATGAACAGATGCAGATAAAGACAGCCAATGTAGCAGCAGTCTCTGCATCAGTAGGCCTCAGTATACACAAAGGGAAAACCAAGGTCCTCAAATTCAAAGCAGAGAACAGCAATCTAATCACACTTGATGGCGAAACTCTGGAAGATGTAGAATCCTTCACATATCTGGGAAGCATCGTCGATGGACAAGGAGGTTCAGATGCAGACGTAAAGGCGAGGATCGGCAAAGCAAGGGCCGTATTCCTACAATTGAAGAACATATGGAACTCAAAACAACTTTCAACCAATATCAAAGTGAGAATCTTCAATACGAACGTCAAGGCAGTTCTACTGTATGGAGCTGAAACTTGGAGAACTACAACAACCACAATCAAGAAAGTACAAGTATTTATAAATAGCTGTCTACGCAAGATACTCAACATCCATTGGCCAGATACCATCAGCAATAGCCTTCTGTGGGAGAGAACAAACCAACTTCCAGCTGAAGAGGAAATTAGGAAAAGACGATGGAAATGGATAGGACATACATTACGCAAATCGTCAAACTGCATCACGAGGCAAGCTCTAACTTGAAATCCTGAAGGGAAGCGGAAAAGAGGAAGGCCAAAGAACACATTACGTCGAATAATAGAAGCAGATATGAAAAGGATGAATTACAACTGGAAGGAGCTGGAAAGGATTGCCCAGGACAGGGTTGGATGGAGAATGCTGGTGAGCGGCCTATGCTCCTTCACGAGGAGTAACAGGCGTAAGTAAGTAAGTAAACATTATTACTAATCATAAAATCCTCTCCAATAATAAAGAATTAGAAAAAACTACATGCTTGGTGTATTTCTCATTAAAGAATCGCAGATACGAACTCTAATCAGTTTACTTCAAAGTTTTAGTATACTTCACCGAATAATTCTGACTTGATATTTAGTACAATAAACTATACTTAGCTACTAAGTTGAATACATATACGTCACTGTTATCCTCCGTCGTTCTCCGAGTCTGCTACTGACGTGTTTGCTTTCTAGCCTAAACCGGCTACTTGAGTGAGAAAACTAGGATTGAGCATGGAACTTTTATTGTCTGATCGGACCAAATATATACACATATCCTTCACAAATAAGTATGTTTACCCCATAAAACCAACCCACAGTTTTAACCGATAGTATATGTCTATTTTCTCAGAAAGTTAAGTCAAAACATGGCCAATCAGAACCTGTAAGTCCTCATTAACTCAGATTGTTAGCCAATATTACTATAAGGGTTAGTTGTTTCTGACCAGTTCATTTAATTAGGTACGAAGTACAGACTTCTATGTACTTGAATGTGAGCTATAAATTCTGTTGAGTGAAGGCTAACGATACAACGTGACTACCTAAACGGAAGTCGATGAAGAAGTGTTAGAAAAAGCCAAGTGTTTCAACTACTACACCTGCGAAAAGTAGTAATTTAGTTAACTCAAAATCAAAGTTTGCCACTTTCCTCACTTTTATTTAAATTTATCATACACATCTTTATAAAGATAATACTGATTGTTTTAACTCTCAGGAATCCACCTTCTACCAGGAGATTTACTTAAGAAACAAAACTGTAAATATAACAAGGGTGTTGTGATAACTTGAATCGATGTACACACTTGTATCACATTCTACATTAAGTATGACTGATCCTCTTAGTAACAACAAATAAATTGTACAACAGTAATAAGAATAACCGAAAACAAAACAAACAAACTACTTGACGAATGGGTATATACATGAGATTGTTATTCATGTGTATCATCATCATATTTACATTTTCTTATTTATTCTTTATTTATTACATAATATTATGTATTTTTAGCTGCACGTTTTTGTTTTCGAGTTTTCTTTTGTTTTGGTTTTGATGCTGGTGTTGCTGTTAATCGTCCACGATGACGATGACGTTTTTTTGGACCGAAATGTTTTGGTAAAATTGATGATTTTTGTTGAGTATTATTTTTGGATAAATATAATTTCTTTTTTAATTTGTTAATATAATTAGGATTATTATTCATTTTAGACTTTTTATATATTGTTGAATTAGATGACTTTGATGTTAATATAGACTTAGTCTTTTGTGAATTCCTTTCAATATTCTTTGTGAATAATTGTGGTGTTGATGATGATGATGATTCTTTGGTTTTAGACTGAAGCATCTATTTGTTTTTTTTTTTTGGAGGGGAAATAAATCAAGAAAAAAAATAACATAAAATGAGGAAATATATACATACATATCAATCGTAGAGAAGGGAGAGTTGAGATGGATTAACAAGGTAAAAAAATTCCTAACTATTTCATCCAGTTCAGCAACACATTACCCCCCCCCAAATGCTTTCACATGACCACGTGCATACAATCACTGCCAGGAAAGTCCTACTCACTGCCTTCTCGCGGAATTACTGTTGTTTACAAAACTGAGAGGAAGAAACGCGAATATCCGGCGCTTTAACCAGGTTGGTGAACATGAAGGGTCCTCCTAGAGGAGATGGTAAATCCAGACTCCATTCCAATGTTGCACACGGGTCCAAGGATCCTAAGGAAACAAATGGCGTATGAACCCATTGTTGGTCACTCTCTACAATGGCACTGCATCTCCTAATGTTGCTCCACTGCCTTTTGGATTAGACCAATTAGGTTAAAGGCTTGGGGTGTGGTCCCCTAAAAATACCACCTGCTTCAGTTTGGGCACCCGAGCAGTCTCTCAGTCCTCACATAAATCTAATGATCTATGTGGCGCATATCTGTTTGGTACCTCCTCGTACCAATGTTTATGTGTTTAAGTAATAATAATAGTAATAATAACAATAATAATAATAATAATAACTATTTCACTCTGTGATTAGCCTCAAATCGGAACACAATAATAACATTAGTCTATTCTCAACCTATCGGTACTAATACAAGAGTCGGGAAGATACTAAAAGATTCTTATGTAAATTCTATAGAAACTCTCAAATTTTTGCCATTGGATGTTTGTTTTTCGAGTTATCGGAATATATATACAGGGTTCACCCTGATATTTTTTTGTGATTTGCTAAGAGTCGAGTGATATATAGTAGTCCAAGAAATACTGAACAACAGAAGAACCATAATAAACGACCTAGCCGATTCATTCTACTTTAGGAATCCATTCAATTCAATAATACTGTATTCACTAAGAAACTACAACAGTTTCTGGATCCGATCGCTGGTGGTAGGGTTTTAGGTGATCAATACTAATAAACTTTACACTAAGACGAAATAATATTTCAATGATTTAAGTGAAATGGTAGTCTCTGAGTCAAATGGTTTAATTATGAAACACCCATTATCTTTGTAGAAAATACCGTGAACAGAAACATCAGAACTATTAAAATTTGTCCGGAAGCGATTGATAATTTGTTTTGGTTATTGATTTGCATCATTCACCTCTCAGACATAGTAATTAACCTCTTATCAATTTATGATTTTTCTAAATAGTTGATAAATCATTTCAATGTTTATTGTTGATTGATCTAGATAGCAAGCTTTTAAAGATTCTCTGATCTTATTTATAACCTTCGTTTACAATTTCAACATTCTGCTAGCTGGAGATGCGTCCACAACTGTCCAGAAGCATGGTTATGGGCGAAGATATATCCCATAACTTGAAATCTGATCGATATCTATTTAAGCAAAGATGAAGAGAGAGGTTATTTTGCCTGATATGTTTTCTAGAATTAAAGCTGCTGATTTTATAGATGATGTTCGGCATGCTTTCTCTTGTCCTTTCATTTTTTTTAGTTTATCCACTTATTTTTGAAGTAAGTGCTGATGATGAAATCGTCTAGATGGATAGTATTAGCTTCATGATTAAACCACTGAGTTCAGAGAGTGCGACTTCGCCAAAATCATTCTCCTGAGCTATTAACATTCTCCATCTCATATCAAGTTATTCAATACCCTTTGATTTTAAATGTTTCCGCAGTCCACCTCACTCAACCATAACATCTAAATTTACGTTTAACATTCTTCATAAGCAATGCTATATATGCAGTTAGTGTTGTGTGTATGGAGTTGTGAAGTACTATTTAAGGCATTCGACTTTCAGTCACTAAGCCACAGGTTTGAACTCCTTCCCAGCGACTTCGGTTTGCAAAACCAGATAGTATCAATGAACCTCACATTTATGTTGCGGTTCCAATAATCGAAATCACCATGGCTATCAGACAAATCAAGAGTAGGAAAGCAGAAGGACCTGACACTAAACGACCTGAAGCAATGAAGTCAGACATAAAAGCAACTGAAAACATGCTCCACATTCTATTCAAGAAGATTTGGGAGCAAGAACAAGTACCGACAAACTGGAAAGAAGAATACCTGATTAAGATACTAAAGAAAGATCTGAAAAAGTGTGAGAACTCAGTTACAGAGGCATCATACTACTACCGGTACCAAGAAGGGTTTTCAACAATGTTACTGAGCCGGATGAAAGATCCAGTAGACGCCCAACTTCGAGATCAACAGGCTGTATTCTGTAAGGATAGATCGTGCACAGAACCAATGGCGACACTACGGATCATCGTTGAACAATCGATTGAATGGAACTCGTCACTATACATCAACTTTCTTGACTTTGAAAAAGTGTTTGACATTGTGGATGGTAGAACATTATGGAAAATTCTTCGACACTATGGTGTGCCTGAGAAGATCGTCAACATCATACGCAATTCATACAACGGACTACACTACAAAGCCATGCATGGAGGACAACTGATGGATGCATTCCAAGTGAAGACCGGAGTCAGACAAGGCTGATTACTCTCTCTTTATCTATCTCTTCTGGTGGTTGATTGGATTATGAAGACCTCCACATCTGAGGGGAAGCACGAAATACAATAGATAGCTTGGATACAGCTGGACAATAACGACTTTGCACATGACCTAACTCTTCTATCCCATACACACCAACAAATGCAGGTTAAGAATCTGATGCAAATATGAAGGCACGGATTGTCAAAGCAAGAGTTGCACTTCCACAATTGAAGAATATATGGAACTCAAAACAACTGTCAACCAATATCAAAGTCATAATTTACAAGACAGTTCTACTGTATGGCGGTGAAACTTGAAGAAATACCACAACCATCATCAAAAAGTAAAAGTATTCATAAACAATTTTCTGCGCAGAATACTCAATATCCGTTGGCCGGATATCATCAGCAACAGTCTACCGTGGGAGAGAAGAAACCAACTTCGGGCTGAAGTGGAAATTAGGGGATAACATTGGAGGTGGATAGTACATACACTGAGGAAATCAACAAACTGAATGGAAAAAGAAAAGAGGAACACCAAAGTATACATTGGATAGGGAATTAAAAGTAAACGTCAAAAGAATGAATAGCGATTGGAAACAACTAGAAAGGATTGCTCAGGACAGAGTTGGTTGGAGAATCCTGATCAGAGAGCCGATACTACACAAGGGATAACAGGCGTAAAATTCCAAAATTATGATGTGGCTCATAATTAAATACCTGATGAATGAGTCAATTTGAATTAAAAATTACTGTTGTGTGATAATTGTAATTTCAGAACTAAGAATTGATTGAGGGATATGTATACATATATTAGTGATTATTTTACTTAATATATATACATTCTGGCACAAACTGTAACCAAAATAAGGATATGCCACACAAACAAAGTGAAATTCTGAAGGGTTACAGGAAGGAATGAGAGTTAAATTATAAATAAACAAGTGAATACAAATAAGTTAATGAAAAAAAGGTATATAAGCAGAGATACAGTTCAGTTAAGAATATAACCAAGAAAGACGTCTTTCAAAGAAGAAAGTTTGTTTCATTTATACGAAGATTGTAATAGAACACTATAGATGGATCGTTACTGCTTTCTATTCAAAGCTACATCTAAAAACAACTTAATCCAATGATTTCGCCATCTCTCTAGGACACCAACCGATGAATCATGGTGAACAAAAAAATATTAGTCCTACAAAGCTTTTATTCCATACATCGCCGAGTAATAAACTGATTACCTCTCACATTTTCCCTATAATCCCAAAGTTAGTATCATAACGGAGGATATAGGGACTGCTAAGATGGATGGATGATACGATCGACTCAAAACATAAGTGTATAATAAATGAAATACCATATAACATTGCGTAATAGTACGAAGATTTATATAAACTTTTGCAACTTACCAAACATTTTTCTGCTCTTTTCTGTTTTAATTGTAACGCTCTCATATTTTCCAATGAAAATTCAACAATTGGTCGCTATTGGACAGAAGAAAGAAGAGTGAACAAATGTAAACAATTATTCTTATAATAGGGCAAAATTTTCATATTAGATATTAGTACTAATTACAGTACGTCAAGATAGTTCCACTGTACGGAGCTGAAACTTCGAGAACTATCACAACTATCATCAAAATAGTAAAAGTATTGATAAACAATTGTCTATTTGAGAATCTCCAGATCCGTTGGTCGGATACCATTGGCAACAGCCTACTGTAGAAGAGAACAAACGAACTTCCATCTGAAGAGGAAATTAGGAAAAGACGATGGAAGTTGATAGGACACATACTTTGGAAATCATCAAACTGCATCACGAAGCAAGTGCTAACTTGGGATCCTGAAGGTAATTGGAGGCAAACATCAAGAGGATAAATATCAACTGGAAACAAGTGGAACGGATTGCCCAGGCTAGAGTTCGATAGAGAACGCTAGTGAGTAGCCTATGCCCCTCCACGAGAGGTAACAGGCCCGATGCCCTTGAACGATCAGTCAAAATTAAACTAGCCGATACGTGTATTAAAAACGTTATTGTGGATAGCTTGTTGCTTAAACTCATGATTTTTATGATAATTCGTATTTCAAAAGGATGGGATAGTGGTCTTCTTGCGGAATGAAGTGTTAAAGTCAGTATGTTAAGTTTAGGAGTATTAGAGTTAAAAATAATGGTTTGGAAGTTGTAGGATTAGGATCTAGGGTTGAGCGGTTTTAGTCTTATGGGCTAAGGCTAAGGTGCGTGTTAAGGTTTAAAGTATTAGGATTAGGAGCCAACGTTTAGAAGTACGTTTCGGAGTTACGGTCTAGAAGTTTTTAGGATTAGGAGCTGGAGTCGAGAGATCTTAAGGTGAGGAATTAGGTTTTTAAAAATGTAGGGCTGAGAATTCGGGTCTATCCTGATTATAGAACAATGATATCCAGCCTAAATTATCGATATTTAGCACTAATAAGTTCATTAATTATTTCGAAACTACTAATCCTTGGTGATTTCATTATTTTTCTATATTTTAGAGCTCTCACACAACAACTGCATTCTGACTGGCTATTTTTGATTGGTTAATTATAAGGCCATCCTTAAATTCGCTTAAGGCTGTCTGTATAGTATAGTTTCACTATTAACGTAATCTATTTACTTAGAACAGGTTTATGTTCAAGATACACGGTATATTCGACAAAGGGAACGTTTCGTTCACTTTCGCAAACATAAACGTTAAATATTAAAAGATATGTTATGACTGATTTGAATGCACGTAGACAACCACAGACACAAATTCGTTTGGGAAGACATCGAAAGTTTGGTTGAAGATACCCGATATATCGACTCATACAATAAAGGTCAATAAACCACATAATTAAAGGTTAACTGGACAAAATAGTAAACTTAAATAAAAGAACTGATGCTTGGTACCTGTGTGGTTGCGCCACAGGATTGAGCTGTACTATTCAGATTGTAGCGTTAAAGCCTATACCGTGTCTGGTTCCGCTGCTAAACGGAATTGAGCTGTACTGTTTGGGTTGTTACGTGAAAGTTCGGATGGTGTCTGGTTCTCCTGAAAACCAATGTAAAATTACCCTGGCCCACAAGGGTATATTATATATAAAGAACCTACGAATACAACCAATCACAAACAAGGCTTTCAGAACAAAAAAGCTTATGACTCGTGGAATAAGTAAGAGGGTCACTTCTACATGAATCAAGCGCTGATTATGTTGCCCAGAAATACAATTAAATCATGTAGCAATTAAGACACATCAACAACACTAACAGTCTTATGTACTCGACTTTGGGATGAAGTACATAAGGTAGGATTCGATACCAAGACCTAATTGGATGAAAATCGGGTACTTCAATGAATACCAAATAAGTGTTTCACAGTGCATAAGTCAATCAACTATCAAATTTACGACAAATTATTACAATAGAAAAACAGTAGTTTACAGGTTTTGATCAAAACACCAGATATTATATAATACACAATTCACTTAATCATCTAACTATTCAACAGAGTGCCAGAATGAAGCCAGAACAAGGTTTTATTAAAAAAAATAGAAGGGAGATGTCAGTAAGTGGAATCATAGATCAATTCTTATAAATAAGTGAACAATTAAATTAAATAACCTACTGTACAGTAAAGGACGATGAACTTACTCGATTACTAGGTGGGAATGCATTCGGATTATTATTTAAACCATACAATACACTTAATGCATTTTCATGATTGGTAAATGCAACAAATCCATAGCCAAGTGAACGATATTGTTGTCTGCCTGGTTGAAGATTACGCATAATACGACACTGATGATAAGATTGCAAACCAAAGAAAAGAGAACAAAATAAACCGTAAAAACAATTTTGTAAATTTACAGTATAAAAATAACGGTAAACAATTTTATATATTCAATTGGGTTATGAACACAGAGTGGATTCCAACCGGCAGATCAGAAGGCAGATATCAGCTAGATCTATGTGGTTTTGACACGAGAAGTTCAATACAGGTCAATACATCTAGCTCTTCGACTACTAATCGTCTATTATAAGATCAAACGTATCGAAAGCTCTAAAACAAAAGACTAGTATATCATGAGTAAAATAAGATGTGGATTAAAAACGTCTCATAAATCGCATATGATCAACTACAAAAGTAATGATTTAGCAACGACATTTAGGTTGAGTGGTGTTCGTGTTAGATTTCTTTCAAGGTGGTTTCAAAATATCAAAGGAGAATCCTAGAAAATCCACTTCTTACATGAGCAACTGTTTTCTTTTTAAATATCTCCTTCAAATTCAAGAATCCAAAAACAAAACCACACATATTTCAATCATACGATATGTTCGAAAAGATTGAAAAAATACAATGTAACTCATTTAACCAAGAACCAATGTATTTCTCTAAACAAACCTTTTCATTCCATCTTTTTAAACCATATTTCAAATATAATTTTCACATATAATGACATATTCTCAGTGTTTAATCTATCTCGGTAGCATTGCTATTATAATCATTTCGACTACTATGCTATTCATCTCGTTAATTTTATCCCATGGTGCTAATATGGTATGAGAAAGTAGGCTAAAGCAAATTTATGCCAGATTGTATATTGATTATGACTGAATGACAGTTTTGTATAAGGGGTACAGACACAACCCAGCTGCCGAAATCGACTTCGTTCGAACATGCAATATAGGGGTTGGTAACCGAGAATTTTAACAACTAAGGTACTGAATATATACATATTTAATTACTGGATCATGGGTTTAGATCTCACTCTTACCGCCGTTTATTATCTCCTGCACTGATGCAACATGTGTGCATCTAAGTTTAGGACGCAACCTTGTACTTAGTTATCGTCCAATAACTACCAGTAAATATATAAAAAACGCCAAACGTATGAGCAAACCGAACCTTAAAAATTGACCATAACAATACTTAAATAAAAACAAGTCAGTCATACATTCTAAGCGTACTCACTTCTAAAATTCGGTGGTCTGTACTTTTCTTTAGAAATTTCATGCAAGCAGACTTTAATTCATCATCGGATACATGTAAGGGTAGATTACGTAGACATAATCGAACATCACTAATAAAATAATTTGGATCAGTTAGTTTCTTCTTTTTCTCTCGCAATAATGCATCCCTTCTGGCTAAATCTTCTTTGCTTAAACCTTCAGCTTCAGATGACCCAGGACGAATAACTATATGAAACAAGAGGAAAGCGACAAAACGTAAAATAAATATTTTGATTCAAAAAATGGTAAAGAGGGAAGAAATCGTGTAATACGATGTATGTCAGTCTTTAAATTCTTCCTCCTATTCACTATTGTGAATAAAGTTTGAAAGGACTCCCGTCTCATTCATGGTTCATAATACAGACTGATCTTGGACAAGCATTGAAACCCAATAAGCATTTAACAGTTGCTTTGTCCTGAAAGTGGAACAACTCAGCAGTACACATCCACGGAAATACCGGAGATTGAACCCAGGATCTTCAAGTCTCGCACAAAGTGGTTAGTTTTAGCCATATTGTAAGTGTAGAGGCTAGTGACGATAACTGGGTGTATAAGCCAGAATAGGTGAAGCGGAGTTTGAATATGCAACTTGGCGGCCGAAATTCGAACACATCACACGAGGTTCTCTTTAGTGGAGCACCATTCGACGACTATAGTATAAATTTATAATCTAAACCCTCCCCTGCATTAATGCACAGTTTCTCACCCCTTCCTACCCCGTGAACTTCTCAAAACTTTTGCCCGATAACATTAGTAATTTCAAAAATGGTATGATCAGTTATTATTGTTTTGGTGTGAACATGAAAGCCGGTAATTTGTGTGATCACTATCTTTTTAAGAGCAGTGAGCTCTGGTAATCACCAGTCAGGATTTGTTCAGCCAGCTACACCTTTAAATATTTAAGCGACAAAAATTGTCAGTCAGTAACAACGTAGAACTTCGTACGTACGTATGTACATCAGTTCGAGTTGCCATACCACATTAGCACAGAGATGCAGTTGTCGATTCAAATCCCGTAATGGTGGAGGCGGTAAGAGTATAAGCAGTAATCGGAAACATTAGGGTTTGTAGATGGTATTCAAGGAGTATAATCCGGTGAGATAAATTTTGAAAGAGAAAAAACAGAAAGAAAGAAAGAAAGGGACATGAATAATTCAGAAGACAAGAATTTAGAAGAACACAAAGAGTCGATGCACCTGCGCCATTGCAAACGATTTTGAGCCATGTCATTCAAGGTCTCTAATCATCGGTTGCTATCGTCTCGCGGATCCCAACTAGGTAGTCTACACCTACCAACATGGCTCAGCCCACTTGTCAGTGACTTCATGGATTTGTGCCATGTTTTGGTCTGGACTCCCCTAGCTTTCTTCCAACCAACTCATAAGCCGTAAAACGTCGCACATCGAGGCAGTCGATGGTTGAGCATACGTAACACATATCCGAGCCAGCTCAACTGATCAAGTTTCACTACTTCATCAATTGATTTGCCATCCTTATCTAGTACCCGTTCCCTAACAACTGCACTACTTACTCGATGGTCCCAGGATATACGAGCAATATTTCGAAGACACCTATGATCAAATACTAGTAACCTACGGATATTCTCTACTCTTACCGGCCATGTTTCACTGACATAAAGTAGGACGGAACGAACTGCTGTACAGTAAACTCGTCCTTTGGTTGGTAGATGGACAAAAATTGTGCACCTGAACATATCGAGCATATACTTCAGTAGCACTCGAACCGGCAGCTTTTTTAAATATTTATGGTTATAACCTCAAAATTATCATTAGGGATGAGGAAAAACTACAGTCGTTATAATGTCGGCCGCCAACTTCTATCTCAAAGCTCCGTGTTGAATGGATAGGGTCAAGATAAAATATAGGACCAGTTTATAAAGTTACTAACTAGTGATTTGAGATAAGTAAGAAAATGAAGACTTTCTGGTTAGGGTGTGCGTGACAGTCTTAAACTACGATTGTACTGATACGATGTGCAGAAACTTTACTTTCATGTTATCTGCGAATGACTAACATTGATCTTGTAAGTAGATTTCAAAAATACAGCATATGTTAGTGGTATGGAATTCTTTGCCTTCAGTTCAAACACTGAAGGCTAAGATACTCCTTTTGAAGTTTAGATTCTACACCGTAAGTAAGTATATTTACCTGTGAACAAACAAGCAAATCAATGATACTTTATACAAAAAAGTCGAACAAAAAAGTGGAAGTTTCTCAATTTCAACCGGAATAAGTAAATTTTTCTTCCAAATATTTATAATGAATTACCCCTCGTTTTATTTGAAACTTGACTGTGATGTCATAAAATCTAATCATACTTGATAGTGATTTTTATTTATATCATAATATTCATGTAACTTCCTCAATTTAAAAGATACCAACATTTAAGAAATTTATGTTTTTGTAAACCTAATCACTGAGTATGAGTCAGTTAAAAGAGCCAAAAGGGAAAGTTTAGTGTTGAAAGTCGATGTAGGAGGAATAATCGGCATTGAAGAGGGAGGTCGATTATGAACACAGTGGTCTTGAGTGCTACTAGAGGTATGAGGGTGGTTTTCAATTCCCAGTTGCCCACACCGTGGAAGGGGCCTTCTGAAGGTACCTGAAAATAAAATTGGATTAGGAGTGGTCTCAGTGACCCGAGAGCGTGACCACAGTGCCCAAAGGATGACTGCTTGAGGTCGGTCACACACTACCTTTTTATGGGCAATTTTTGTGTTAGCTCCGTACATGTTGAGACCTTACCGCCGGAGACGGATATCCGTGGGATAAGGCGAGGTGTGCATTTTTAGGGTCGACCTTTTCTAACCCCACCCCTCCTTGTGGGAAGGCAGCATCGCTGTCATGCTGGTTGTCTGAAGGAAACACCTTACTGCTGACACATCACTGTACAGTCAGCAGTAGGACTTCGCCTTCGGACCTTGGGTTTGCTGCTTTTAGTCTTACCGCTCTTTAACCGACCTGTCTGGCATATTAGAACCTTAAGGAACGATTGTTTCAGTCAGCATAGCTTGGTTGCTTCATTACGATAGGCAAGCCCGACCACCACGTCAAGGTAGCAACAACGGTCGGGACTTAGTATGAAACCGACTACAGTGTATAAAATTCTGATGATGTAGGTCTACAAAACACATTTCATTAACCTGAAAGCATAGCAGAATCCTACTACTAAATAAATAATTAGAAATATATGATATCGGAAATAATCGACCTGTAAATTTGTATTATTAAATTGATCATCGTTATATGAAACGAAGCTAGATGATTTAAAATGCGTATACACAGGAAGATTATCAACTTACTTCCAATAGATGCTAAATGCAAATTACGTCCCTTTTGCTTTACAGCATCTGCAGGGCCTATAAGACCCTCCGAAGCATCATCTTCGTGTTTCCTTTTTCGTAAATTTTGTGCCTCTGTTCTAGAAACAGCAATTGTTATTTTTAAAGTTCGGTTTTCCAAAGAAAATTGATGAGCGTTCTAAATAAAAATACGTCCGTTGTATTATGGAATTGAGTATATTTCTTATAAAGTGTAATATAGTACACAACAACTTATCAATAAAACATAATCTTTTCCAACTAACCTCAGGTTTATCAGATTGTTGTAAGACATTTGATGCATCCTCAGCATTTACAAACTTTACAAAGGCTGTACCTCGGGAATGTTGTGTTGCTGGATCTTTAACTATTTTCGCAAATTCTAGGGGTCCGAACTGTGAAAAAAATGTGTATAATGCATCTTCTTCCACATCAAAGGATAGGTTTCTGAAATAATACAAGTACAGAGCGATATAACCGGTATTAACGACAATGGTTTTCAACACCATACTTGGAAGAAAATGCAAGTTAACGAAATAATAACTGAAGTGAAAGAAGTTGGTTAAGAAAGAGCGAAATATCAACCAAAGTAATCATGACTGTTCCTTAAGTACAAGGGAGTGTGAAGATTATTGAAGTTAGTTCGTGACGCAGAACTACAAAAGTACCACTTCATAAGCATTTCATTCACTAGAGAAAGTGCTTATAGCGCATAGTCTTTCAAACGCTTGTGACGTTTAGCGTCGAATAAGTGGGTTTTGATAGGATTATATCAAACGAAATGAAGCACATTAAGATAGATTTCTTAAGAAACAATATACATGACGAGTTAGACTGCCTAACCAGATCTTCATTTTAAAAAAGGATAAAATGTTTAGTTCATATATTTTTAAAAAATAGTAGTGTGCAGATAATGCTAAGTGACTCTAGTTGACAGAGCTATAAAACGTGAAGATCGCTGCAGAATAGGCAATAACAATGCAAAAAACGCAACAGAAATAATTATTTCGAGGTTCTTTATAACAAAAAGTCAAAACTAGTCACCAAGTTTTTGTCATATTCTGTTTATAATCCTGGGTTACAAAATGTCGATCAATTACTTTAAAGAACTCAAATATAACGTTAATTGGTAGTATGTCTTACTTAATGTAAAATCTGACTAGATCACCGTAAACATATCGTACTCATTTATAGAATGGACACGACGATATACTTGTTAAACCGATCAAATCTCTAGTATGGACGGAGCATGTTATGAACTGTAGCAAACATACTAAGCATAGAGTTTCACTGAAATGCGTTGACCATTGAAGTTTTTTACGGTGCATAAATAAAATATTAGGCAAAATGATACACATTGAAATAATTAAGGTCACAAATCGAGAATGAAAAGTGGATAATAAACATTAAAAGCCCAAATAAACAGGAAAAATGTAAATGTATCTGCACTATTTTAGTGTGCAATTATCAGTAATGTCTGTAATAATAATAATTTCCAAAATAAAACAGAACTTCGAAATGTAGTCGACTACGCTGAAAATAAGATTATGTATGTCAGATGTCCCAACAAACAGAATTGTTCTACCAATCACATTAAAACTTTTCACATGCTTAACATTTAGCTGCAAACCGAGTGAGGTATATTTGTTGAGGCATTCCAGAAATAATTTTTAGAAAAAACTAAAAAACTATCAAAATGAATAACAAAAATAAGTCTTAAAAGTCTCCAATCGCTTTATTAGTGCTAACCATCATAATAATATTCTCATATGTGCAGTAAAAACATTGCTTTTAACCTATAATTACTTGATGACATACTATAGCATGACGTTCTTTCACACACTAGGCTAATTCTACTATCTTTGGTCCGATGACTGACTTCTATTAAGTTTCATAAAGTTGGTATTTTCATGACATAACGAATATGTTCCTATCAAACCTCAAGTTTGAAAACCTATGACCCAAGGCTAAAACCGAGCAAAACAACGGCACTGAGTTATTTTAAATCCACGTGTCCAACTAAATAAACTCATTCTTTCGAAAGGATCGCTAATACAGAGTTACAAAGTAAATTGTTCTGTGGAAGGCATACACTATGTGTGGGAAGATGAAAATAAGTCAGTCATTATCAACTTATGTTGTCACATATCAGCATGGTAATAATTATTAAGACATGCCAGTGTGTTAGAAAAGTAACAGTATCAGAGGAAGCAGAAAAGATTGGGTACAGGAAACATGACTGAAGAAAATTAATTCGCTGAATGAAATGGATTTTAGGTTAGGATAATTTTTCCGATCTCAATCAAACAGCCTACACCTACGAACATGCATCAGTCCAACAGTCAGAGCTCAAGGACTTATAAGATGTTTGATCTAGCTTCCCCTTCCTTAGCCTCCTCACAACGCATTTCCACACTGCCAAACATAGCAAGTCCAGTTAGGCTGTTGGGCATACAAAGTGCAAACCCGTTACCTTAGTTTATAAAAATTCGAAATTTCATCAATCTATCTACAACCTCAATGTAGCACTCCGTGACTATCATTTCTTGTTCAGTGGTCCGAACAAATTCAAGTAGTACTTCAAAAATATATATGATTTGATTCCGTTAACCTACTTTTATATTTAGAAGATGAAACTTTTATAATCTAAAATATAGCCGCTTTTTCTGAACTACTGTAGTTTGGATTTTATGATGTTCTAGGAACTCTGATGTCGATATTGACTTTACAAGATGTATACATGTAAGCAAAGCCCTAAGCTAGGTGAAGTTATGATCTTTAGTTAAATAGTCTAACGTAAAAGAAGCATTTTTAAAATGATACGAACTGTAACAACAACTGTTACCATAAAAGATTTTTTTAGGATTCCTACATCATACATCAGTTCGTGATGGGAACTCTAATCTTAATAAATAATCCTAACTCCCAACACCAATTACAAACCCTACTTCGCTTTCTGCACCATGACTTTTCTCGTTTCTCATCGGTTCAGTAGCGTACACTAAGTTAACTACAATAGTTACAGACATGAGTAATGCTGACACCCTAGTGTCCAGCATGTGGGAACGAAGTTAGTGATGAGTCTTTCTGAACTCCCTTACAATGAGCACTTAAACATTTAGATCTTTCCCCCTTACCTTATCGTAGGCTGGACCGTAGTTGCTACCTTGACGCGGCGGTCGTGCTTGCCTATCGTGATGACCCAACCGAGCTAATATTGGCTGGAACATATGTTCTTACAGATCCCACCATGCCAGGCAGGTCGAATGGAGAACAGTGAGACTAAAAGCAGCAACTCAAGGTCTGAGGGCGAAGTCGTACTGCTGACTGCAGAGGGGTGTGATAGCAGTAAGGTGTTTCCCTCAGACAACCAGCATTGCAGCGATGCTGCCTTCTTACAAAGGAGAAAGGGGTTAGAAAATGTCGACCTTAAAGATATCACTCCTCACCTTACCTCACTTATATCCGTCTCCGGCGGTAAGGCCCTTTGAAGAACGGAGCTAACACATTAAAAACCCACCACGAAAAGGCCGTGTGCGACCGGCCTCAAGCAGTTGTTTCTTGGGCTCTGCGGTCACGCTCCCGGGTCGTTAGGACCAACATTAACCCATCTTCCTTTTCAGGTTCTTCAAGAAGTACCCTTCCACGGTGTGGACAGCCGGAAAGTGATATCAGCCCTCGTACCCGTAACAACACACGAGACTGACTGACCTTATCATGGGAAGCAAAGTGACCTTATATTAGCATTACGTGTGTTTTATGATGATTTGGGTGTTAACGCGTCTTATTTTTTGCCCCTCTAAAACTGATTATGTCCGAGGAAGCAGAAAAAACGTCAAAAGTCTGCGACCAAAGATACTCAAGGTGGGATTCCATTTATGTCCATAGAGTGATCAGTGACTAAAACACCTTGTTCGATCAAGTGGTATCAGTCCCATCAGCGTACCCCAATCTCCCCATTTTGAGGTCTTCCCCGAAGTCCAATCACAATTGGCAGTTTTCCCCAAAGTTTTAGGGATTTTCTAAGACCTATGGAAATTTTGGGGTTTCTGTGCTATTTGGATATCCAAGACTCTCTTTAGCGGTTCCTCTAAAACGGAAAACTTTTCTCTCAAAATAGGGAGTTTGGGACACAAGCATTAACACACGTCCACAGACCTACTATCCTTATGACTGAGGACTAGAATGTATCAGGTCTCCCGTGTTTAGTTTCGAGAGTAAAGTTTTGACGCAACAAATATGTGCATATGTACGAATATATTCGTATATGAAATGACGTTTCGACGAACTACTGATGTTCAGTGTCTATAGATGAAATATGCCTATAATAGTATCTAAGCATATTATCATGCTGTACAGCATGATAACTTTGTGGTGAGTAATTATAATTATTCACCACAAGTCAATATTATTGACTTCGTTATCCAAAACGTCCACGACGTCAAAAAACACTTTTCGTTAAGTTTAGTGGTTGACACTATATTTTAAACAACAGAGCAAGATCAATATTACCTGATAAATATCGTTCTACCTTCTGAAGTATCGGACACCATGAGACACAAGAGGCCCTTGAAGTGTTCTCAAGGACGTACAAGGACAATGTAACGTCAATTTTTGATAGGTTGACACACGTTCCAAAATACACTTCATCCTATGTGGGGCGGCATTAGTGAAAAAACTTAGAAAGACAAAGAACAGCTAAAACATGGTTTCAAGAAGGGTTACTCTTGTATAAACAACCTGCTGACTGTGGTGGACAGATGGACAAGTATCCTCGATCACAAGGGGAAGGTTGACATCATCAACCTAGATTTCTCAAAAGCTTTTGATAAGGTTAACCATACATGTCTTATCAATAAGCTCAAACGATTGGGTATCAGACCACCTCTAATCGACTGGCTCACTTCATACATGAAAAATCGACATTTTAAGGTCAGAATTAATTTCACTTTATCACAGGCTATGGAATGTCCTAGTGGGGTCCCCCAGAGCTCAGTACTAGGACCTCTTCGTTTCTTGATTTACATAAATGATATTCCTCAACAGGTAACGTCAGACTTAGTACTTTTTGCTGATGACGTGAAACTTTGCGGAGAGATACGCAACCAAGAGTATAAACTGGAACTTCAGGAGGATCTAACTCGATTTCAAAGTTGGGCGGACTACAACGAACCTACCTTTAACACTTCAAAGTGTAAAGTAGTCCATCTGCGTCATGTTGCAGATTACAGTTACAACTTAGGCGACTCCCCTCTAGAAGTATCCCAAGTTGAAAAAGATTTAGGAGTGCTGGTAACTTACGATCTGAAGTCCTACGCTAACTGTTACAAAAATGCCATTCGAGTAAATCTTGCACTGGTAACATTGAAGCGCATTTTTGGCCAGTTTGACTGAAAAACGTTCCACATAATCTTCAACAGTTTTATTCGTTCCAATTTAGAGTACGGAAACACAGTATTTCCTCCCTCACTCCTAGAAGATAAGGACACTCTGGAGCGTATCCAAAGGCGAGCCACGAAATCAGTTCGGAGACTCAAATTCAAGCTTTATAAAGAGTGCCTCCGATCACTTGACCTTTACTTATTAGAGTATAGACGTCTTAGAGGTGACCTTCTGATGGCTTACAGTATCCCCTTGAACACCCACTTAAGCTTAGTCCCAATACAAACCTACGGGGTAACACCCAAAAACTGGAGACAAAACATAGCAGAACTGACTGTAGACACAACTTCTACTCCTTAAAAGTTGTCAAATGCTGGAATTCGCTGCCGGCCGAGCTAGTTCAAGCGACTTCCCAGGAGTCTTTTAGGAGGCAACTTGACCTATTCTTAGAGGCTATGGATAACATCTTATTATGATTTAGAAATTTCGTTTTTTTCCTCTGTTATCGGTACTATACCTAGGTTCCTGCCTGGAAGTATTGGTGATCCACTTCCACTAGACACGGAAGCCTGTTAAGCAAAAGCTTCTTCTATCCGTCCACAACCATTTCAACCATTTGTGGTACTGGGAGAAGACGTCCTACCCCAAACAGAGAACAAGTATGCTTGTTTTTAAAAATCTATTCTCGCATATTTTCTCGTGAATATGATCCTTTTATTTTACTCGATCTTCAACCTTGGTAGCCTTTATTTTCTCTATTTATGGTTTGATTAATACTCTCTAAAATGACAGTTTTGATCCATCCAATATGATAGGATAGTGTTCTGTAGGTCGTCGAAAATCTTTATTTTCCCTCAATTGGCATTAATTTTGTAAGCTAGATTGTTTAATCTTGTTTAACAACTCTGTGAACTATATAGCCTAGTCATGATATTCTTCATGATAATTCTGTACAAGTAATATTAATGGCTTTGTGATTATAACCGTTTCCAACTCAACTACTGTGTTTTTAATTTACCTGTGGTATAGGGCTGGTATCTAACGTTATATTAGAATGGACCTCATGAACAGCGAAGGCCAAAGCTACTAGAATCCCAGGAGATTTCACAAGTGTCTTCCATACTTATTTGGCTACACGCCCAAAATCGCATATAAACCAGGAATAGATAGGTTCAGTTACAACACCAGCCCTATTTAAACAAGAAAATAGGTATGAAATACACGAATTCCGCAGATACATGAAAATGGTCGCTATGCGAACAAACACTCCGTACGGTCGATAGTTGAAGAGTACGAGTTACCTTTCAAGTAGATAGCTTCATTCGACATCTATCTCACGCTTAAATATGTGAACGAAAGGACACTGAGTGTTCAATGTAATAATACCCAAACCCAGCTAAACGATCAATCTCAGAAGCCCTACAACGGGACATAGAGTGGTTAACGAAAATTAATTATTATTGTTAGCCTTATTCCATATTATAATTTGGGTACAACATAGAATTTTCAGCTCAAAGTATTTCAACAATTTTCCTTTTCTTATTTCTTGATCAGTACTGATAATAAATATTGAGTGAACGCCAGTAAGAAGTTAGCATTCTGTGGAGATATGACTGAAAGCTTATTTTGTAAATAGTTTTTAATATTATTTGTATTTGTTTTGTCAATTTTTCACTGCATGTACATTCATCATTAAATGACTGTACGTGTTGCTTTAGTCAATGACCTTGAACACTTTTTCCGTTGTGATACTAACATAGCGTGACACACTTTTGGTCGTTCGCAAATACACTACTACACACACGCTCCTTGTTTTATTCTCACGCGTTGTCTAGCTAATCGCATTCTAAATCGAATATTATCCGCATTTTAGACTGCTGTGCCATTTCTATTACACCCTACGTCAAAGAAACTTACTGGAGTCATATTTACCTCATTGGAATTGTTACTCATGTATAATTGTGGATTTTTGGGACCAAAACTCAACGGAACACGCAACGACTAGCTGATTTAAGTAACGTCCCTGAACTTTTATTTTGTGTTACTAATTTATAAATTGTTATTGTTACATTAACTTTTGGACGTAATAACTTTATCGCTAATTTTTGGTTATTATACTTTTGGTCCACCACAATTCCAGTCAATCCATATCTAAATAATTTACTTTCTTTTCGCTGCCTGCAACTACAATATCTTTAATTGGGTCTTTTGTAGACTTCACAAAGAATCGTTGTTCATTTTTCACAAATGCAACTGAATAGTTATGCTATCAATAACCATAATGATGTATTAAAACAAAAAAAACTGATAACGTGTTGAAATATCTGCATGACAGGGACAGGCATCCCAAATATAATGCCAACATTATTGAAACTTGTGTATTATTGCATTTTTGACGAAATCCGAAATGGTTTCTTCACAACACTTATGTACCCACAAAATATTTGTGAATAATAATAATAATATTAATAATAATAATAATAATAATAATAATAATAATGTTCAAGTGGGTCGCCAGAGAAGTATGATGCGCGACTAACATACAAACAGCATGTCACATCCTAGGCAGGGGTGAACATCATATTTATATTATCAATGCTCGTTTAACATTCATGCTGGAGTTAAGGAATAGAAGCTTGAACGAACTAATTTTCATTCTCTGAGCAGCCATAACTGTGTCATAGCATAATAAGGCCCCCAACCTGAAAAGCGCGTAAAGATGCGATCGTAAAGTATAGAAACGTTTTCTCATACCAGTAAGCACTAAGGACTTCGGCTTCTTGATGAATATAATTTAACGAAGTAGGATATTGCAGTATGGTAATGAATATTTAAATCAATATAGATGCTCCTGTTATAATGTTTGCCGGTTTTGCTGTTTTTCCGGGTCATTTGATCATCAGCCTCCCCCAACTTTGTCAATAATCAAACAACCACGAGTAACCGTGGTTACTGACATGACATATATTCTTCCTCCCCATCTCAAATTCAATATTTTACCAGTGGGATATTAGTGTTCCGTATTGAGGAGAAAAATGTATAACCCAGTGACTTAGATAAATATATTAATCAAAGCGTTTCGTCTAATAATTAATTAATATAAGCCACTATCAGTTTTTCAAGACATTACAATTGTTCAACAGTTCAAAAGGTGTAGGACAACATGAATATAACATTACGGTAAGCTTGAACAAACAACCATCACCATAAGCAAGGCGGTCACATCATGACAACTTAAACAGCGAATTAAAACCAATGATTGAGCAATATCAACGCGTTCATTGAAAACTGTCATATACTCAATTCTTACATCTCTGAATAATATAGGTTGATGTACATTAGTCTAACACATAAGATCATGAAGAGAATAACGGAAACGCGGAATACCTCAAGGCCTTTATCTAGAACTTCCTCAACACAATGTACACAGCCGATAAATCTGAAGTCGAAAATGACGGCTTATGAAAGTATACTTACAGCACGTGACATCTGGGCTGACAAGATATCTCATGAAATGCTCTATATGACCTATCAAAGTGTGATCTGATGTGGACACATTGCCAAACGCCTTTAGCTTTTGTGTGTTTATCAGAACTAATAAATTCAGCACCATTATTAGCACTAAATACAACTCACTCCCAATTAGGGTTCCCTCACTATCCTTGAAATGACTCTGAGCATCTGAGGTGACGGCGGACATTTTGTGTTTGAATACCACGAAGTGGTCCTTCTCTAGCATGTGTGGGTATTTCGAAAAAGGGTTTTACTGGTTGATTATAATTATCATACATTGTTTTACCTTTAGTAGCCAAATAAAATTCTGCGTTGTTTTTGCATTTCTTACTCAAATCCAGTAGTAAATTGTCGTGCAGTTCGAATATGATTTCTGTCAAACGGGGGAATTCACGTACAATGACCATTTATTTGTCAGAAGCTATGTAGTTGAAGAGAATCTAAAAACAGCTTGAAACGTTTCAAGTAGACGAAGCTTAAGTACCCTTAGTGGAGACAACATTAACTAATCGCATCCACCTACGGAGTGAAGGAAATCAAAGTGAGTGTTGGAAGTAGATGCTTTCTGTTTTGAAATGTATCTCTGGATTTAAGAGAGCTATAGTGTATAGAAACTGTAAGAATATTTACTTGTATGTTACACGTAGGTATAAGAAAGTTATGTGTCAGTCAGCTGTTACAATTGCTTTAGGTGACGGTGAGTATAGGATG